TGTCATTTCTGTTACATTTTAAAAGCTCTGCATGAGCTCCCCTTCTCCACCTTCCCAGCCGAGGAAGAGGCGAAGGAGTTTCCTCTGAAGGATTAGCCGAGGCCAGATTCCTCAGGCCCGTTGTGCCTCCTTGTCCGTGATGAATGACGAGGCATCGGTCCTTCCTCCAGGCTCTGTGACCTTTATTCGGCGTCTGTACCTTGGGTCTGTGGTGAGTGGCGAAGAGCATGAGCGAGAGAGTCCTGAAGAGTTTCAGGTGTGCGTCAGCTTCCGTAAGCGCTTGTCCCTCTTCGGCAGATGGCGAGGATGGCGCAAGGTGGGACAAGGTTCAGGCCCGTTGGCCATGGCCAGGGCCACGGTGAGGCACATTTGACTCGGTAACTCATAAAGACTCGGGAAGAACACGTGTTTTTTGCTCATGCTTTCCGTTAAACAGTTGAGGGAACTGATTGAGGATTCCGTCTGGAGTAGCTGTCAGATTTCTGGGCTCCCCCCTGTGACTTGTCCTTACCCTCTGCTCAATCCCAGCCCTTGCTTCCTGTGTGCTAATGGGTGAAGGAAGATTTTCACGTAGGCTGTGGTCGCCCCACGCCGTCCACCTCCTCCCGTTGCTTGATTTATACTCTTGAGCCTTGACTGTATTTGTGATTTCTTATTGTTCATGGTACCAGTTGAGACATTCTCCTCAGCTGTTTTTATGTGAAAATAACTGTCATGTTTATACTAGACTTCAGGAAACGTCCATCTTTTTAATTTACTTGTCTAAATGCATTTAATTTTTCAGAGAGCAGTTGTAAATGTCACATCTTTACACTCGAATGTGCGTAAGTTCCCAGCATTCTGCCTTTTTTCCTCCTCTGATTGTATTCCAGACTGTGCGTCAGGAGCAGCACCTCTGAGACTGAAGGACTCACCTCTGTCTCTGTCCGCTTCTGTGAGCTGCTGCTCGAGCCCTGCAGAGGTGACAGCGATGTCTGCCCTCAAGTCCATTCCTTGCAGGGACATCGACACACAGGCATCCCTTTTACATTGTAATTGGGCGCTGGCTGACTGGTTCAGCTGTTTTAACTTAAACCCAAGACGGTTGCTATGGAGATGGTTGACTAGAAATAGGTCGTGTTAAAGTCATTTCCCCCACATTATAAGGGAGTGCTGTAATTGTAGAAGTCGTCTCTGTTAAACAGAAGAAGTGTGGCAGCCACAGCCCCCTTCTCCACAGATTTCTTGTTCTAGGAGGTTTATGTTCAGGCTGGCTGTTGGTAGAGTTGCTCTGATGCACGTGACTCGACAGCACCTCACAGCAGCAGCGACATTTAGATGCTGGCCCACTCATCTGCCCTGGGAGCCCCGCACCTCATGATGATTGTCGCTTTGGGATGATTCGAACTCGTGACCATGCTCTTGAGCGGGACACCTTCATGGAGTCACCTTGGCTCTGGTCCCTGCAGGGCCGCCCTGGTGGGTTGGTCTCCAGCAAGCTGTCCTGCCAGCCCAGAAGCTATGAGGTTCCAGAGGTTCGAATCCACCAGCTGACAGTTTACTCAAAATTGACTGACTGGCACTGACTTTTTTAATCCCACAGAAGCAGATTTTAGGGCTGCCCTTCAGTGTCCTTGAGGCGGTTAGGACCCTAACATTGTAGTTCACAGTCAAGTGCAAACTATCTGTGTGATGAGTGGCTCTACATGCCGCTCTGAAGGAGAAAGATAAATGTAGCCTCAGAAATACCTGAAAGGTTGGCATGAATCAATCAATGGTTGGGAGGGCTTTGCTTGATGACCTGATTGAAGGGAGGGAATTAAAGGGGTCTTAATTTGATATGTTGTTGTGTATCATTGGGTATGAACCTACCTGTAGCTGACCCTCCAGCGGGTTTTCAGAGGCAGTTGATCTCAAGGGAGGAGACTGCCCATCCTTCTGCTGCGGAGCCTCGAACCACGTGCCTTGGGACTGGCAGTGCAGCTCTTTACCACTAGGCCACCAGAGCTCAATTAGCTTCTTGCTAAAGTTGCTACTCTGTGACTGTGAGGGGTTGTTTATTTCCTAAATTCCGAAGAGTTACAGACGAGTATGTATTTTGAGGAGGGAACCAGGAGTAGAAGAACAGCTTTGAAACCTCGGCGTTAGGAGAGGCGTCTGGGAAGGCCCGGGGTCGGTGCCTCTGGCTGGGATTTGCCTCCAGTCGCCCCTGAAACGAGGCAGTGTCCTGGAGCTGCTGCCTTTGTGACTCCTCAGTGGCCGGTTGACTTCATCTTGTCTTCATCTGTCACGGGGAGATGTTTCCACCTCCAGGCCTTCTGTTCCCTGGGACCCGCCGTCTGCTTCAGAAGGGTGTGTGTGGAGCTCTGGTGGCCTGGTGGTTCATGAGTTGAACTGACAATCCAGAAGGGTGTGTGTGTTGGTGGTGGTGTGGTCCCAGGTGTCCGTTCCGTGGGGCTGAGGAGTGAAGTCCCTTCCTTTCCTGCCAGGACTGCTCAAACCCCTTTCTCTTTGCCCAAGTCTTAGCCCTGGTGACACAGTGACTCAAGTTCTCGGGCACTACGGTGAAGGTTAGCTGTCTGGATCCTTCAGCTGTGGGAGGAGAGGAGAGTGTGATGGTCAGCCTCTGTGAAAGGTGACAGCCAGGGAATCCTGTGGACAGGTCTCCTCGGCCCTGCTGGGACCGGAATCTGCCTGCTGGCTGTTCATTTTATTTCATTTTGTTTTGTTTTCTCTTTCTTTTTTTTATGATTTCTTCGTGTGTGTACTGTCAAATCAGATCTGACTGGTACAGGAGGAGAGTTCCCCTCCTTCTCCAGCACAGCATCTGGTGGATTTGAACCGCATACCTCTGGGATTGTAGTGCAGCTTCTTGCCACCAGAGCTCCCTGTTTTCTCTTTCTTTTTGTATAAAATAAAACATTTTTATTTCTTTTAAAAAAATATTATGACACTTTTATTATACTTAAAGGTGTAGTTTTATGTAGACACAAGTCTTTAAATAAGTATCAAGACAAAAAAGTACTTCTTTTATCAAGACAAAAAATACTTCTTGAAGTTCAGAGAGGAAGGTGACACTATCTGATTTGACTGCACAGAGAAATATAATTGCATATATGTTGTTGGTATTTTCCTAGTCTCCCTACATATATGCTTTGTTCCTTTTAAGTAATTAGATTTATATGTCATGAGCTGTTCCCTGAAACTTCAGTCATTCCATGGAAGCCCGTCCCACAGGCTGAACTCTCCATCTGTTTTTTTTAAAGATTATATACATGTGTTTAATACAATCATTCCCATTATGTTTTATAAAATTAATCATTGTTGGACCTTACCCATTATTACCCTGTCTTTTCAGGTCCCTGCCAGATCCTTCCCACTTCCTTCACTCCCTCCATCCTCCCACCAGATTGTGCAGCCCTGTAGTTTCGCCCCTACTCATCCTCACCCCTCTGCTCTCACCCTCACCCCTTCCCTCCTTGGGTCTCCATACATGTTTTACTCGTTAACTATTTTTACAATAATGGTTTTATGTGGTATTTGTCCTTATGAGATTGAGTTCACTCAGCATAATGCTCTCCCGTCTCTCCCAAGTTATGTAGTATTTTTCGAAATTGCTCCTGTGTGCTACATAGTATTTCATTGTGTGAATGTACCAAAATTTCTCAGTCCATTCGTTTGTGGTTGGACATCTGGGCTGTTGCCATGTTCTTGCGATGGTGGATAATGCTGCTGTGAACATTGGTGTGCAAATATCCATTTGTGTCTCAGCTCTAATTTCCTTGGGATATATTCCTAGTAGTGGAGTAGCAGGGTCATACGGAGCTTCTATGTTCAGCTTTTTGAGGAAATGCCAAACTGCTTTCTAGAGTGGTTGTACCATTTTACAATCCCACCAACAGTGTATGAGAATTCTGATCTCTCCACATCCTCTCCAACATTTACTGCTTGCTGCCCTCCTAAGCTTTGCCACTGCTGCTGGGATGAGATGGTATCTCAGTGTGGTTTCCATTTGTATCTCTCTTATTGCCAGTGATTTTGAGCATTTCTTTTTGTGTCTGTTGGCCATCCAAATGCCTTCCTCTGTGAAAAGTCTCTCTGTATCTTTTGCCTATCTTTTTATTGGATAAATGTCTTTTTCTTATGGAGACCCAGGAGTATTCTTTAAACTTTTGTAATGAGACGCTTGTCAGAGATGGAATCGCCAAATATATTTTTCTAGTTGGTAAGGTTTTTTTCATGCTGTTGGAAAAAGATTTTTATGAACACAGAGATTTAATCTTTAGAAAGTCCCATTTACCACTTTTATCTTCTCCAGATTCTATGTTTCTGGCTGTATTTGTCAGCCTCTTTATACCGTAGTAGACTGGCCTTCTGAGCTTGGTCTCAGTTTGTCTCTTATGAACTTTATGGTTCTAGGCTTTACTGTTAGGTCTCTGATCCACCTTGAGTTGATTTTTGTGTATGGTACGAAATGGGGATCCTGTTCAGCTTTCTGCAGGTAGCAGTCCAGTTTTGGCAGCACCATTTGCTGAAGAGGTTGTCATTTTCCCATTTGATAAGTTTTCCTTGTCGAATATCAGTTGACCATAGATTTGTTAAGTGTTATTGAGTCAAGTGCAACACGTAAGAGACCCTATGAACAAATGATCTGAACCCTGTTCTGTCCTGCGCCATCCTCATGCTTCCTGACACACAAGAGCCCATTGTAGCACTCACCGTGTCAGTCCACCTGGCTGGTGGTCTTCCTCTCCTTCGCTGACCCTCCACCCTTCCCAGCATCGTGTCCCTCTCCAAGGAATAGCTTGCAACATGCCCAAAGTATGTGAGGTGAAGTCTCATCATTCCTGCCTTCAAAGAGCACTCATAGTGGCAGGTAGCTCTGCTGCAATCCCAGATGCACGTGGTTCAAATCCACCAGATGCTCTGCTAGAGGAGGAGGGGCAGCGAGGTTTCTGCAGGTGCCGAGTCACGTCTGCCCGGAGCCCGGAGCTAACCTTGGTCCGTCTGTGTTCTCTGAGGTGGCGGCCGCTCCCTGGTGGTTACCTGTCAAAGGCGCTAACTGGAGGCACCCGGAGGGGCCTGACTCGACGGTTCTGCACAGGTAAGGTAGCCCGATGTCCCCAAACGTGGTCTTTGGGCTATTGAGAGGAACCCAGTGGTTCCATGTCGTCTTTGGAAAGTGTTGGCCATGACTAACCCTAATTTGTTGGTGGGAAAGTAAGATGACATATTCTAATGTTCATACGTTCTGGTGACCTAGTGGGAAGGAATTGAACTACCAACACAGAGGCACACAGTTCAAATCCACCAGCAACTTTGTAGGAGAAGGAGGGACTGTCTTCTCCCGTGGGGTTAACTGCCTCGAAAAACCCACTGGAAAGTCAGCAGTGGGTTGGTTCTGTCCAACTTGGCAGTATACAGCGACAATGTGTATGAAGTCCCAGACACTCCCTTGGTCCTAGAAACCTCTGACTGGGTGACCTCTGTCCTTCCTCGTTTGTCCTGTCAGAGTTGCCTTTCTGAGCTTCCCTCCCTCGTCTCATGCTGACCAGCCTGTGAAATCCCAGGTTGTGTTTAGTCCTTCCAGCCTCTCGTGGGGTCTCTTACCAGCGGGTCATTGTGGCCAGTTGCCCTGTCCTGCCAGGTGACACTGCAGATGCCTGGGCGTTGGGTTTCGCTCACATTACCCTCATTCCTGGGGTGACATACTTTGAGCCACCATCTGATGGAAAAGCCAGAGTGACAAGTCGGTCAGCGAGTCTCCAGGGAACAGGAGAATAATTATCTGCGGCAGAAATAGAGTAGCGTTAGGAGCCCTGAAGGTGGAGGGCACTGGATTGAGGTCTCAAAAACCCAGGAAAGCTGCTCTCCTAACCTGGTTTCTCAGTTTGGAGTTTTGAGCTTCTGTGGTTCACAGTGGTCCTTGTCACTGTCCTCATTGTCACAGAGCAGAAAGGACATGAATCCAGCCCCGCAGAAATGTCTGAGACCTTTCATGCCCAAGTTGGTAGTTTCTGGACTGCATTGGGGACACAGGCGAGCGACAGATGATCTGGAAACAGACTTGAGGGACAAATCCGTGGTCCTCTTGGTCCTGCACATGAACTGGGTCTCCTGAGGTAGACAGAAGAGGAGGGAGGCTGAGGAGGGAAGGAGAGCTGGCTGGTGTGTGCCGTCGTGTTAGAATGAGCCCATAGCGGGACCCTCCAGCTGATTTCCAGAGGCTGTAAATCACGTGGGAGGAGACTGCCTGTTTCTCCCTGGGACTGCTGGTGGATTCAAACTGCCTGCCTTTGGGTTGGCAGTACAGCTCGTTACCCATGAGGCCATCAGAGCTCACTGGGAAAACCTCGAGGAATTGTTTTAATCGTGGAGTTCACACTGTGTCTTCAGAGAACACGCAGTCCTTCCGCGTGCTGGAGCAGTGTTGGGCACGTGCGGAGTTTCTGTAACTGGTGGAAGGATAAATGGCCGTCCAGGTGTCCTTGCTTCGAGGAGCGTAAGGACGCAGAAGGGACGGAGTAGCGGTGCTCCATCCATGTGGGAGGTGAACTAGACATAGAGCCGTGTCGCCCTGTCTGTTTCCACTACAGCGACCTGTGGGCAGAGCAGAGCTGCCTGGAGGCCTGGGCTGTGGTCTCCCTTCCTTTTCCTGCAGAGTGGCTGGTGGGTTCACGGCCCAGTCACTGATCCACTTTGCCAGCAGTACTGGAGTTTAGTGTCACCACGGGCTTGCTGGGTTGTGTATCCCCGACCTGTAAAGCCCCCTCAGTGCTTCCGCTCCCACGTCCTGTCAGGAAAGAGCCTTGGGGTTTGCCCACACCAGACCCGTTGCTGCCACGTTGCCTCAGAGCTGGTCAGCTTCCCAGGCCGTAAACCTTTAGCGAGGAGAATGCCCATCTTTTCTGGAGCAGCGGGTGGGTTTGAACCTCTGACTTTTTCATTAGCAGCCCCGTGTGCCTGGTGCCACCTAGGTTCCTTGGAATCGTCTGGCCGAGGCCGGTGTAGCTGGCTGATCAGTGTGGCACAGGTTGGGGTCTCTGCACGTGTTCAGGTGGAGTGGGGAGCACACAGTGCTCTTTAGGGGCTCACGCTGGTGGTGCAGCAGGCAGGCGCTCACAGCCCAGGCTCTTTGGGAAGGCTCCGGGGATCTGCTCCCGGAATGCGAGCAGCCCCCATGCCCGTGTGAGGGTCACCCTGTGAGAAGCTGCACGGGACCCAGAGTCCACATACTGACCGGCAGTGCTAGGAAGGAGCGGGGGAAGCCGGCTGGACAGAGAGCGGTCACACTCGCACACTCTCAGCAGGACCCCAGCCCGGGGTGTACGGTCCCCTCCTGTCACCCTGCGAGGAGCCTCACCGTCACTGGCCACTGGTGGTTCGGGTGACTCCGCACAGCTGTGGGAGGGCCTGCAGGACGGTGGACCCAGAGCCAGCACTGGAGCATCACTTGGTCCAGGAGTGTGGCGTGGGCTTCGTGAGAATCCACGTCTGAAGCAGAGACCTGCTCCGGTCTGCGTGCTCTGGAGCCAGTCACGGCAGAGACTGTTGGTGGAAGGGGACCTGGCCGGCCTGGCTCTGCTGGGGTGTGCCCAGGTGTCGTGGAGAGAATCGCTGAGATCATCCCGCATGGGGGGTTGTGTTCCCTGTCCCAGCAGTCGCCCCTCATCTCCACTCCCTCTCCCCCCTAGGCTGGACCACCCGGTTCTGCATGTCTCCTGGAACGACGCAGTGGCCTACTGTACGTGGGCAGGGAAGCGGCTGCCCACGGAGGCCGAGTGGGAGTACAGCTGTCGGGGCGGCCTGGAGAACAGGTACTGGGGACTCATGTCTGACGGGGTCAGGACGTTCCGACGTGGCAGGACTGGCTTAGGGCAGTCATCGCTGGGTGCCGTCGGGCGGCTCTGACCCAGTTACCACGTCCAGCAGGGTGAAGTGCTGCCTGGCCCTGCCTGGCCCTGTGCCGTCCACACCGCCTGTGGTGTCCCAGCCCAGTGCTCCGGCCCGTGTGTCTGCGCTCTTCCACCCTGAGGCTGTTGTCTGGGGCTCTGTGTCCGGCCACGCTCCCTGTTTGTGAGGTTTTCAGTGGCCCCTTGCTTCAGAGGCGGGTGGCCAGTCCTTGTTCCTGGCCTTAGTCTGGAAGCTCTGCTGACACATGTCCACCTGGTGTCTGAAAGGCCGGCATGGAACTTCCAGCATCACGGCAACACCCCTCCCCCCAGTACACACCCCACAAGTCTGGCAGACTGAGGAATGGTGTAACGTAGGTCAGAGAGTCCATTTTAAACAGCTTAATAACAACTTCTTTCCTAACTAGGTGGCCTTTGTCTCCATAGTCGCTCAGGAGACCCCAAGGAGTGGGTTGCCAGCCCCTCACGACCCTTGTCTGTGGTCGGCGGGAGCCGGTCAGCACTGGTCGTTATGTGGCGGTCTCCACAGTGGTGTGGCCGGCTGCCTTGCTTTTAGCCTTTTCTTATTTTGGACATCTTCTGAATCAGCAGTTTTTCTCTGCTTTTAGAGCTATCAGATCACATCTTCTAAGAACGTCTCCCTAAAGCAATGCAGGCTTTCTGAAAAAAATACAGGAGTGGTGCTCTGTGGGGTCACGCTCCTGTGTAAGTGTTCAGTGGGGTCTCCTGGTCTCCCGTCCAGACCACTCGCTGCACTGGTGGCTCTCCTGTCAACACACCATGGATTCCAGGCCCCGAGGGGACCATGCTGCTGCCCCTGACATGAGCCAGTGGATGCAAGTTTTAGAAAAGACGCGAATCCTCCTGAAAGCTTTGTTCATCTGGGTCAAGCAGCCTGCCCCCCTGACAGGCTGGTGCCCGTGTCTCCTGTGACAGGCTGTTCCCCTGGGGCAACAAGCTGCAGCCGAGAGGCCAACATTACGCCAACATCTGGCAGGGCCACTTTCCTGTGAGCAACACCGGGGAGGATGGCTTCCGAGGGACCGCGCCCGTGAGTAGTGGCTCCCGAGGGTCAGGCTGGGACGAGGGCACCCTTGTGGACGGCCAGGCTCCCTGCGGCTGGACGGCCCCTCCTGTGGACAGTGGCTCCCACTTTGGATGGGTGTCCCCGCAGTGGATGGGTGACCCTGCTATGGCCAGGTGACCCTCCACATGGACGGGCTGCTCCCCCATGGACGCGTGGCCCCCACTATGGATAGGTAGCGCCTTGTGCATCATCTGCTGTTGCATGGAGTTGACGCCACTGTGGGTCCAGCACTTTTCGCTCTTGTGTTTTCGTCCTGGAAACGGCAGCGTGGAACACACAGCTTTCACCTTGTTAGGAGTGTTTTTTTGAAAGGGAAGTTATGACTTTATTATTCATTTGTTCACGTTTTGTAGCAGTGTAATTACAATTCTATTCCTTCGTTCATATACATTTTGTTTTACAACATTAGTTATAATTGGTCTGTGTAATTAATCAATTACAATGTCTGATTGACTCTGTAAGGTCGAGTCGGTTCAGCTCAGTAAGGTAAGTGCTGTCACGCTCTCACTGGTCGCCGCAGGTTCTGACCAGAGAAGTGACCGACTTGCTTTATGGGGTGCAGCTGGGATTTGAACCACATTGTTCATTTCCAAACGCCATGCTCCTAGCTATCATATTCGTCATCAAATATGTTTCTGGTATATGTTTGTTTATTTTTTACATATGATATTTGAATCATCCTGAAACCATACTTAAAATTTTACTTTTTCCCTCTGTAATATTTTATCCGGACATTTTATCTGTTTCTGACAGTTGTTGAGGGCTGTTGAGTTGGAACTGACCCATAGCTGATCCTCCAACGTTTTTCCAGAGGCAGTAAATCGCACAAGAGGAGATTGCCCGTCCTTTTAGCTCAGAGCTGCTGGTGGTTTTGAACTGCCTACCTTTGGGTTGACAGCATGGTCCTTAGTCACCAAGCCACCAGAGCTCCCTGTCATATGGATAGACCCTAATTTATTTACTCCATTTTCTTAGTTTTGAAAATATTCTGATTTCTTGCTAAACAGTGCAACAGTGAATTCCTTGTACATAAATACTAGCCTCTATCTTGAGTATTTCCTTAGGATAGATTCCCAGCAGTGACATTAATGAGTCAAAGACTCTGTGCTCACAGCCTTCCGTGGTCTAGTTGTTCTCCCGAAAGCCTGTGGTCCCTCCCTCCCTCTCTAGTTTGCTCCACTGGTCTCTGCCAGGATTCTCTGCTGAACTTGAACTAGTGAGGCCATGGTAACCTGTCCTGTCCTCTCAGGACAGAAGTGAGGGATCACATGGCGGTTAAATAGTGTCCTACTGAGTGTGTTGTTGTGCAGAATCACTTTATCTATCTTGTAAGTTGTTGTTGTTTTAAAATGGTTGTTTTTGTTAATTTCACATAAAAAGTTGTTGTTGTTTTTAATATTATTAATTTTTGTGTGTGTGTGTGTGTGTACCATCAGATCAGATCTGATTGGTACAGGAGGAGATTGCCCCTCCTTCTCCAGCAGAGCCTCTGGTGGATTTGAACTGCTCACCTCTGGGATTGCAGTGCAGCTTCTTGACACTAGGCCACAAGAGCTCCCATAAAGAGAGTTTTAAAATGCATTTATATGTGAAGCAATGCATGTTAAGTTTTGACATATTATAAGAGATACTGTGTGGAGGGTGATCAGGGGCTGCCAGCACTTCAGCAGGAATGCCTGCGGTTTGCTGCTGGCACCTTGGCTCTGACTGGTCGGTGACTCGTATGGGTTTATGTAGCACTGCCCCGTGGTGTTTTCTGGGCTGGAATCTTGCAGAGCCTCATTGCAGGCAGGCGTGTCCTCAATGCAGGCCTGTCCTCAGGGACCTGCAGGTGGGTGGATGAGAACAAGAGACATATATTGTTAAAAGATGATGAATGAGGAGAAACACAACTGACTAGAAATGCAAAGGTTGTGGTTTAGGGGGCATGTTTATGTAAAAAACATTAATTGCAGATTCCTTTAATAGAAAGACACTTGTGAGTCTAGGAGTAGCAAGACATTAGTCACCGTGACAAAGGCCATTTATGAAACCCCCCACTGACACTGTATAGAAAGAGCACTTCCTGGAAGGTCAGGAGTGCAGCGGGAACCCGGGCCCCAGCACCGCTGCTGTCCAGGGAGTCCTAGCTGGAGCCCTCACTGCCGCCGGGCTGGAACCGGCTCAGAGCTGACCCTCCAGCAGGTGTCTGAGGGCGCCAGTTGCACAGGAGGAGAGAGCCCATCCTTCTGCTGGGCTGCTGGAGGATTTGAACTGCCGAGAGGAGATCGAAGGTTTGGATCAGCAGTGAGGTGCCTGCGGACCGTGCCTGGATGCTCCTCAACCCCAGAGGGCAGCGGGTGTAGGAGCAGGGATGTGGGCACACAGTGGGCCGCTCACCTGCACGTCCGGGCAGTCCTGAAGGTGGTGGAGCCCCGTGCTGGGCCTGTGCAGGCCTGTTAGTCAGGGGTTCATGTGGGGGAGAGAGCAGGACCCTGGCAGATGCTCCGGGAGATACCGTGGGATCCTGTCCTGCCCTTTCCCCACGTGCTTCCTTCCTTACATGGGCATACTTACTGTGAAAACCCTGGTGGGCAGTTGGGCTGTTGCCTGGTGCTTTCTGCTGGAGGGTTTGGAGCACCGTCACTTTGCAGATCACTGTGCATTTCACAGGCACACGGTTCAGTGGGTGTCGATGCTCTGCAGGTGCTCAGCCCCCACCATGTGTCTGTGGGCTCAGCAGGTGCCTCCTGGGAAACCCTCAGCGGAACCTGCCTGAGGAATTTGAAGTGGATGCCCCGAGGGGAGTGTGTCCAGGGGCCATTCTGAGAAATCAGGTCAGAAGGCAAGAAGAGAGGCCTTGAGGGAGGTCACCTTAGTCTGTGTTGGAGATGAGGCTTCACTGAACCAGTATCTTTAGATTGCGATTGTTTTCATAAGAAGTCTTTGGGTGATGCAGGTGGTTAACTCGGGCTGCTGATCAAAAGGTGAGAGAATCAGGTCCACCTGAGGCCTCTCCCAACCAAGGCCCCACAGTCGGCCTCCAAAAACCAGCGGCTGCAAAGTCTGTAGAAAAGACGTTCCTGAGGGGACAGCTCTCTGGGACATGAAAGGGTCTGAGGGCCCAGCTCTCTGGGATATGTGGATGTCCTGGACTTGGCCTCTTCTAGAACTGTGGGAAGGAGTTGGAGTTTGCTCCCCTGAAGTCCTGAAGCCAAGTGCCTCCTTGTCCTTGTGCTCATGGTTATGCCCCTGCCCTTGCTTCCTGGTCATCCCAGGTTCTTCAGAGAGAGGCGTGTCCCTCTCACTGTGTCTCAGCTTTGTCCACTCTGCCTCCAGGACCACCTGCCCCTTCACGGAGGAACCTTCAGCCAGAGATGGAGCCTTCTTGTCTGCTCCCGGGGCACTTCTTCCTCTCCTCTCGGTTGTCTTCTTTCCTCTTGGGTTTGGCTTTGGTGTGGCCTTTCCCTTCACTCGTCTGGAGGTCTGCTGTGGTGGTATCCCCTTCCTGTCCTCGCTTGTTAGCATGGAGTTCCAGGGCACTGCTGTTTCCATAATGAACGTGGATTATGTGAATCCTTCCACTTTCCAGCCCCTCTAGACTTGTTCCTTTCAGTGGAGGGCTCTGAATTCCCCCAGGTCAGACGCATCCATAGTTTACACACATGTGAAATCTTGGACTGAAGTAGAAGTGATGTGTATTTTACTTATTATTCAGCCCTCCTTTATTACTATAGGGAAAAAAGCATAGATTTACACAAAGATTTTAGAAATTTCATCAGTAACTTGAATTTTTTTTTTTAGTAAAAAATAAGAAAAAGTGTTTGCTTTTGGTTTTGAGAATTTTCATAAGTCCTTAAGGGGAAACTTTTCAATCATGTAAATAACCACACTGCTTGCTTTCCCGTGTGTGAAAGCATCTCTGTCTTCTCAGTCAGTTTAAGAGCCCCTCACACGTGGGTTCTGTGTCGGTGACAGTGTTAGTGGCAGACTCTCTGCCTGCCTCTGAAATGTGATGTTGTTGCTCACTTAAGAGCCTTGCAGGTTGCTGCAGACTTCATAGTGCTTGATAAGGAATCCCCCTTTTCGTTTAAGGACAAATCGATCAGGCACAGAGGGTGAGGTGGAGCCCTGAGCTGGGGACCCTCGATGCTGAAGGCCTTGTGGTAGCAGAGCTCAGGCCTGGTGACAGCACTCGTCCTGGGTGTAAACGTGGTCCTGTTACAGCTCCACCCCACCTCCCACTGTGTGCTGTCAGATGCAGGTTTGAGTGAGAATTGGGTTTAATTCATTATGAAGAATTCTTTGGCTTTCCTGACATGGAATGCAAATCCCCTTTGATGTATAAACTCCTCTCGAGCCCAAAGCCAAGGGAATGCCTCTCCATTTACATTGGCCACATCCTCTTTTGACTGTTGGTGAAAATGAGAGTTCATACTTTGACGTTAGAGCTCTTAGTGTATTTTTGCACCAGGGAGACTCTGTAAGCACGCTGAGTGTTGAGACAGAGCCTGTCCTGTTTGTTTTTAGGTTGACGCCTTTCCTCCCAACGGTTACGGCTTGTACAACATGGTGGGCAACGTGTGGGAGTGGACCTCAGACTGGTGGACCGTCCAGCATTCCGCTGAGGAAATGCTCAACCCGGTGAGTGGCTGCCGGGTGTGTGTCCGGAGAGGACATCCATTCCCGGGAGGCCTCAGCTCTTGTTTCCTCGTGGGTCAAGCTCTGTGCCTTCCGAGCCTCCGTGTAAGTGGGGTGCTTTGGTGTGTGCCCCGAAGGTGCTCCTGGGTAGCCAGGCCGCCTAGGCATCCTCAGTTGGAAGTGTCCACTGTGAATTGATGAAAGCTGATTTACTGGGTAGCTCTTTAAAAGCATTTAATTTCTTTCTGAAGGATATTTGCAAACTTCTGAAATTAATCCAGAAATGCACCCGAAATGACAGTAAGCACATTTATCTTATTTCAGACTGAAATGTTTGCAGGGCAGTGCCGACGATGGACCGAGCAGGAACCGCTTCAGAAATTCCGTCCTCCTTACTTTGGTCAGAGTGGGCTGTGTAAATGACCACGGAGAACTCGTTAGGTGGTGGTGTGGCTATTGGAAGCTGCTCGGTGGGCCTTGCCGTGCGCCTTGTGGGCCGAGGTTGGCTCGGGGAGGTCCTCTTACAGTGTCACTGTGGACACTTCTGTGTAAATGCCGAGCCAGGAAGCAGAATCACTTCATGGTTATTTTTTGAGCCTATCAGATTGTGAAATCTTTTACTTCTATTTTAGTAATCTGACTTAAATGTGTTTGTCTAAGTTGACCTGTTCAGAACTGGGAAAGGTGTTACCTGCAAACCTGTGACAGATATACAGCACCCCGTGCCCCCAGCAGAATGGGTGGAAATGAGAGGCCGGGGCTCATGTGTGCAGGACCTCTGAAGAGAGCGTCTCAAAGAGCTTGTGTTGTGTAACTAGATTGTGGGGGAAATACCATGTAGAAATCCTGTATCGAGCAAAGTAGGTATTCATGACTCAGATACAGGAATATGTATTTAGACCAAAACCACCTAGACAGAGACTGGAGATACTTAATTTGAAATCTTAACCTTTTCAAAAGCACGAAGGGTGTTGGGAAAAGTCATTCTTCAGTCTCTTTCCAGTGGAGGGGACACAGTGCAGCGTAATTGACGTTTTTATGATTTAGATTCTATGCCTCAGTGTTGGGCGCATTTCTGTTTGATGTGTGTGGGGTTTCCCCTCATAGAATAGCAGCATGGAAGCTGCTTGGAATAGTCTCCAGGCACAGACCTTCTTTCTCTGGAACAGATTAAAAAGCTGAGTTCTTTAGAAACTGTCATTTTCTTGTGTTCCCTGGATTTTCTGGCAGGGGTGATGGAAGTGGTGGTCAAAGACAGACTCCTCTCCAAAACGAGAGTCGCCTGATGAGGTTCTGGGTGGGCTTGTGTTAGAGACCATGTTCTCACTGGCCCCGGTCGCTGTTGCATGTGAAGCCAGGATCAGAACTCGTTTGTCTGAATCTGCTTGGATCCTGGCGTCTGCACCTTCGGGGAGGGTGGCGAAGCTGCAGCGTTCTGCCTGGTGAGTCTGTGAGACCATCTGCCCTGGAGCCGAGCTCTCGTTAGCTTTTGGTTTTAGATCTGCTTCCATTTTGTCTCAGGATTTATAGAAAAAGTCCATTTCTTCTTGTTTTCATGGTTCCAGCCTCTAGCCTGGGGTGGCCTTGACATGAATGAAGTTGCCCTCATTTTAGGTTTCTGTTTGTTAAAGTGGCTTTATTTGTTTCCTGAACTGACTGGGGCAAAATTCAGTGGATTGAGGAACTAACCTCCAATCCCTGGAAAATCTGTAATCATCATTCAGGTCTTGCCTGCATCTCCTCCTGCTGGTGGGCTGGCCAGGGTGGCTGTCTTTGAGGTCATCACATCAGTGCCCTGGCCGCCTCCCTTCCTGCAGGCACAGTGCACCAAGGAGCACATGTGAGGACGCCAGTCCTGTTTCAAACTCTCCAGTGGCTTCTTGTTGTCTGAAGAATAAAGTGCAAATTCTTAATATGAATCCTGAGAGCTAAACTAATTTACCCCCTGCTGACCTCTGTAGCTGCACTCTTCTCTTCTTTTCTAAACATTTAATTGTGAAACACTACAGAAAAGTTCCTGAGATAGTATGTCATACATCTGTGTGCCGTCCAGGAAGCTCTGGTGACGCAGTGGCAAGTGCTCGGCTAGCCAAAAGGTGTCGGTTTGAGCCCACGAGCCATTCTTCAGGTGAAAGATGTGGCTGCCTGTTCAGTATCAATTTTAGCTTTGTTATCCCCACGGGGCAGTTCTCTCTGTCCTGCCTGTCACACGGAATTCACTTTGAAGTTTTTGTTACATACTAGTCATTCAGATACAAGAGAGTCACAGTTTATTGTGTTTGTTTTAGCTACCTCTCTTAAAAAGAATAACAGTTTTTGCTAACACTTGATATTTCCAATGATTTTTAAATTTAAGCCATTCTGGTCACTCCATATATAAAAAACAGTGTGGCATCAGGATTGGAGGAAGCTTATCAACCTACGTGATACAGCATTGCTCGGTAAAAGTGAGGAGGATTTGATACATTAGCTGCAGAAAATCAAACACTGGAGCCTTTAATATGGGTTGTATCTCAGTGTCAAGAAAATAAAAATTCTAACCACTGAATGGATAGGCAGCATCGTCGTAGATGGAGAAGAGACTGAACCTATCAAAGGCTTCAACTTAATTTGGATCCACAGTGTTCTTGGAACCAGGAGTCAGGAGATGTATTGCCCTGGGAAAGTGTGTAGTCAGGGACCTCTCCAAATTACTGAGGAGCAGTGATGTTAGTTTGAGGACTAAGGCATGCCTGATTGAGGCCACAGTCTTCTCAGTCACTAGCTATGCATCTGAAAGCTGGACAGTGAACAAGGATGACAGAAGAAAAGCTGATGCCTCTGAGCGTAATGTTGGTGGAGGGCACTGAATGTCTCACGCACTGCCAAAAACCACAGGTCTGTCTTGGAGAAGCTGAAGCGAGATTGCTCCTTGGTGGCAAGGCCGGAGAAGCTTTGTCTTGTGGACATGTTGCTAGGAGAGTCTGTTCCTTGGAGAGGGACTTCATGCTTGGCAAGGTGGAGGGACGATGAAGGAGAGGAAGACCCTCAACCAGGTGGATTGACACAGTGACTGCAGCTCTAGGCTCGAGTGTGTCAGAGATTATGAGGATGGCGCAGAAAAGGAGGGGGTCAGATAACCAGGGGCTCGAGTGTGTCACGGTGTGTGAGGACAGCTCAGGATAGGACAGGGGTCAGATAACCAGGGGCTCGAGTGTGTCAGGGTGTGTGAGGACAGCTCAGGATAACAGGAGTCAGATAACCAGGGGCTCGAGTGTGTCAGGGAGTGTGAGGACAGCTCAGGATAGGACAGGGGTCAGATAACCGGGGGCTCGAGTGTGTCGGTGTGTGAGGACAGCTCAGGATAGGACAGGGGTCAGGTCCTTTGTTCACAGGGTCGCTGTGAGTCATGCTGAACCTGACAGTCCCTAACAGCAGTCACCGTGACGTGACGCCCCGTGGCGGGTTCTCAGCCATTGTGTTTTAAAGTTTCAGTCTGGTACATGTGGGTTTGCTTCTCTTGTCTATTGTTGTCCCTGGGTTTTGGTTAAACATTTTTTGTTTTCTCATCCAGTTGGTTATTTTGGTTGAGTATTGAGCAGCATGTGAAAAAGTGACAGTGTGTTTGTTCTCTGGAAAGGATTTAGCTTTGCGTCTGGAAATGCTCGGCCAGGACCATTGCCTCTTTCCATTAGTTCTGTCCAGTCAGGAATTGAGACGGTTTGAAGCCATGTGTCAGTTCTCTGAGGACTAATCCATGTTACTGTGATTTAGCTGCAAAATCAGGGTGTAGTTTAAATCATCTTCACCTCCTTGGAAGACCCTGAGCTCCCGATTTTCATCTCTTGAGAGTCTACCCGGACTTCTGTTCAGCTTTCAGCCTCCAAGCTGCCCCCGTCTAGTGAACAGAGCTTTGGGGGAGACGAGCCCCATCGAGCTTGCTCCTCCCATTGTTGCTCCGCACAGCGGTGTCAGCCTCCCGACCCCCAGACGCCTGCTTCTCCTGGAGGTTGAGGTTCATGGGGTGTCGGGCTTGCCTGGCCCTTTGATGCCTGCTTCTCCTGGAGGTTGGGGTTCGTGGGAGGTCGGCCTCCTCTGACCCCCAGACGCCTGCTTCTCCTGGAGGTTGGGGTTCGTGGGGGGTCGGCCTCCTCTGACCCCCAGACGCCTGCTTCTCCTGGAGGTTGGGGTTTGTGGGGTGTTGGCCTCCCCTGGCCCCTTGATACCTGCTTCTTTCTCCTGGAGGTTGGGGTTCGTGGGGTGTCGGCCTCCCCTGGCCCCTTGGTGCCTGCTTCTTTCTCCTGGAGGTTGGGGTTCGTGGGGTGTCGGCCTCCCCTGGCCCCTTGATGCCTGCTTCTCTTGGAAGTTGGGGTTCATGGGCCTTCCTTCCTGGGCAGACCGTCTCTTGCCAGGGCCTCATGAAGAGCCTGGTGCTCAGGCGTTGGTCCGATGCTGGGGTGACGTTGTTTCGTGCCTTTGTGTGACAATGTTGAATGGGAAGGAAGGTCCTTTGTGCCTCTGTGCGTCACAGGCTTTGTCCTTGTTTGTACTGTTCTGGGCTCAGGTTGCCGCTGTCTGGTTTGAATATGTGGCTGCTGTGTTGGGTTGCTGACCTTGGGGAGCAAAGAAGAGGGAGGTTCAGCCTGCGCTCTGACACCCTGTTGTTCTCCCTACTTCCCCCTTCTGTTGGCTTGTTACGTGGTTACTCTCGCAATGAGAGACGTACACATTCTTCCTGGCCCCTTAACTCCAGTGGGAACAAAGCAGTGAAGCGTTAAGTACTGCAGTGCTCGTCAGGTCAGCTGTCCAAACCCACCAGCTTGGAGAAACATGAGGCGGTCTGGTGGTGAGCATGACGTACGATGGGCAAGGTCAGCTCTGTGGTTCACAGGTCGCTGCGACTCCGTCCTTTCTTCTTGGAGGGATTAAAACTTTCCAAAACAGTTCGCCCCCAATGGCTGTCCCTGTTGCATGCTGTGTTTGATAAACCTGAGATTGTTGGTTTTGTTTTTGCCAATGTGCAA